ATGAAATGGTACCATCCTATTGGTCAGTATTCACTTAACGTGTCATTTTCCTACTGGTCATTATTGTACAATTTTATTTTCTATTTTATGGTACGATGTGATCTGCTTGACTGGTATATAAACAAAGTATGTTTGAAATATAACGATTCATATATCCGAGGCTGAGATTTGCGTTCTGGACTCAACTGGCTGGGCTAGACAGGGAAGCGGGACCACTCAGAACCCTAGGTCGTTCTTACGTGTTTGCGCGTCTTTGGTCCGATCGATGATTCGCTACCCTCTAATCTGCCTCAGATATATCAACCTTCTAACATAACTCGTACCCACCAAGAGAAATCAAAAGACAGAATCGAGGAGATTGGAAGATATATTTGATGACTATCAATATATCGTGGATCGTCTGATCTAGTCTGGCTAGCGATTGCAGTTAATGTTGAGCACGGCGTTCCCACACGTGATCTGGTGCGGATGCATGACCGAGCGCCTTCAGCTAGGTGAGTCCATCAAAACACGTGGTCAGCATCCAATGTCGAAAACTTACAGAGCTATTTATTTTGGGGATTTATTTACCGCAAAAGATCAGTCCCCCCTAGTGGGGAAGTGATGACCCTAAGACGTGGCCAGCCAGAAGTTTAAACCCAACGAGTTTTGTCGTTGGTAAACACTCTTCTGATAGCTCGCTAGGTTAAGCAGCGTCTGGTCGCCTTTCCTTACTATGAGGGACCATGAAATACAATATAGTAAAAGAATAATGTACAATCAAAATTTTGGTTCCTCGTAAACCTCATCGTTCTTTTTATCGTCTTTTCCAGCCGTCCTGGAAAAGAAAAAAAGAATATGTAACTGCATGTCAAAATAAACTCGTACGCGCATTAAGACACAAAATGGGCGAAAAAAGGTTAATAACGTAAAAGCGATTTTTACAAAATGTTTTTTTTTGTTTTTAAAATCTCTTTAATATACATATTAGCCAAATGATAAATATATATACATATAAGCATATTAAAATTTTTTATATATTATATATAATGCCATGGAAAATCGAGATGAAACAAAATGTTAACTAGTGTCTTACGTGCAATAGTCGTTTAAATGTTCTGGAAATCTTACTCTTCTTCCAGAACGCGTTGTTTTAAGTTTATTTTCAGATACTGTCGGAGTATCACCGTGCGTGTTGGGCTTCGGATGAGGTATTATAAGTGCCGGAGTTGTGCCGTTCGATTGTCCCGAAGTAAAATCGACGTAGATAGGATTTCCTTCTAAATACGCTGCTTTTAAGCGATCGATGCTGATGCTATCGTTTGTTCCGTTCTTATCGACTATATAGTACTTAGATTCACGTTGAAGAACTTTGAAAGGTCCTTCATATGCTAATTCGAATGATCGTCGATGCGAGTCTCGACGTACGAAGACGTGTGTACTATATTGTAAGTCAGGTTGAACGAAAACATCAGTTGATTGAGGTCGAGTAGAAACAGGTTTAACTGAACGCATTGCGTTCGTAAGCTTGTTCATGTAGGAGATTAGATCCATGCTCATTGAAGAGGATGAAGGATCCATGAATTCTCCTGGAAGTCGAAGTGTCGTTCCATAAACGAGTTGAGACGCAGTGTATCCAATGTTAGCTTTCACTGCATTGTGAATACCCAGTAAGACGAGTGGAAGAGCGTCGGTCCACTGTGAAACGTTTGCAGCTGATAGTGAAGCTTTTAGTTGTCGGTGAAAACGTTCTACCAACCTGTTTGCTTGTGGGTGGTAGGCAGTCGTTCGGAAGCAAGTGATTCCTGAAAGTGTGGTCAGACGACGGAAAAGATCGGATTCGAACTGACGTCCGCGGTCTGTAGTGATGGTTGAAGGGCAGCCGAAGTTTGCTACCCATCGTTCGACGAAGGCGCGGGCCACTGTTTCAGCATAGATGTCCTTGATAGGTACTGCTTCTGGCCATCGAGTGAAACGGTCTACGCAGGTTAAGAGATAAGAGTATCCATTTGAATCTGGTAAAGGTCCTACCAAATCCAGATGAACATGGTCGAAACGAGCATCGGGAGTTTTAAACGAGCCTAGGGGACATTTATTGTGTCTGACAACCTTAGATTTTTGGCAGCTTACACAGGAGCGTGCCCACTCCTTCACATCTTTATTCATGCCGGGCCAGCAAAACCGTTCTGCTATAAGCTTGATGGTTGCACGAACACCTGGATGAGAAAGTTTGTGCAATGTATTGAAGACAATTCGTCGATAATGTTGTGGCACGATTACGCGATCCCTACTTGTAGATGTGTCACAAAGTAAGGTTTCCTAACCTGTTCCCACCTGTTTGATGCGTAGCTTGAGTGTCGTAGACGATCAGTGTCTTCTTTTTGAAGCTGAGTGAGTTTAAGAAGGTCGATTCCTTGGAAACTGTTCAAGGAAGTTATGCGAGATAAGGCGTTTTCAACTACATTGTTTGCTCCAGAGATGTGTTGAATATCTGAAGTAAACTGCGAAATGTAGTCCAGTCGTCGAGACTCATGAGGTGAGTACTTGTCTGAAGAGGAGCTTAACGAGAAAGTAAGAGGTGAATGGTCAGTAAAAAGAGTGAAATCACAGCCTTCGATATAGTGTTGAAAATGCCGTACAGCACAATACATAGCTAGGAGTTCCCTACCGTATGTGCTGTACCTCGATTTGGTGTCTAGCAACCGTCTAGAGAAAAATGCCAAAGGTTTCCAGGCGTTTTTAACCCACTGTTGTAAGACTCATCCGATTGCCGAGTCGGATGCGTCTACTGCCCTGATGAGCAAGCATTGTTGCTTTAGCGATAAGTTCCTTAATTGTGGAGAGTGCTTTTCGTGCGGTGTCGTCCAGATTGATCGATTTTGCATTTCCACGAAGTTGATCGGTAAGAGGCTTCATAAGTAATGCGCATTTCGGTATGAAACGTCTATAGAAACTTACGAGGCCGTTAAACGTGCATAATTGCTTAACGGTGGTCGGTTCTGGGTAATCCAGAATGGCCGCCACTTTGGTTCTAGGGGGTCGAATTCCTTGAGCGTCGATAGTGTGTCCTAGAGAGTCGGTTCCGATTTGGCATTTCTGAATGTTTACAGTAATGCCATGTTTTTGTAATCGTTCGAAAACAAGATCCAGATGCTGGAGATGCGATTCTCTGTCCGGACTTGCTATTAGGCAGTCGTCAACATGCGCATGTACGAAGTTGAGACCTCGACAAACGTCGTCTATAAACCTTTGGAATGTTTGAGTAACGTTTCTTAGACCGAAAGGCATCCGCAAAAATTCATAGAGTCCCAATGGAGTGATGATAGCTGTTTTCGGTATATCGTCTGTAGCCATGGGGATTTGGTTATACGCCTTAACCAAGTCGATTTGCGAAAAGACAGTTGTATCTTTCGGTTCATGCAAGCTCATGTCAACTAATATTGGGGGGTTTAAAGCTGTAGCGGCTACTTTAATGTTTAAGGTCGAGCGCCTGGAAAACTAAAAGAGGTTAGGCATTACTAAATGTTGGAGATATTTAGTCTCAGCGGATTCCATCACATTTTTAATTTTGATTCACTATTATTAGGCTTTAACACTGCAACTTTATCCAGTGCAGTTAATTATGGTTCCCCCTGTTTATTCGCTGCCGGCCGAGCTAGTCCAAGCGACTTCTCAGGAGTCCTTCAAGAGGCAACTTGACCTATTCTTAAGAACCAAGGACAGCATCACACTATGATTTACCAATTTCTTTTCCTCTTTTATTGTTAACATACCTAGGTTCCTGCCTGGAGGATTTTGTGATCCCCTGCTACTAGACACGGAAGCCTGTTAAGCGAAAGCTTCTTCTATTCCGTCCACAACCATTTGAACCATTTATTCGGTCTCGACTATTCCCGATCTCCCCATTTTGGGGAAAATTTTTTCCGGTTTGGGTAAATTTTGGAGAAATTGCTGTAAAAAGCTTTGGAAATGTCACAAAGCCCACAAGACTTTCCCAGGTCTGGGGAAAATCTTGAAAAATTTTGAGGAATTTAGTGTTTTCCGCAATATTTTCGCAGGAATCTTATAACACTTTGGGGTTTTGCCTCGAAATTTCTCCAAGATATTAGAATTGAGTTTTGCATTCCTGTCATTAAAAGCCGTGATTTCGGTGCCTGTGGACACCCATTAGGTGGAAATAACTTATATCGTAAAACCGAGAAAAATGGCTTTTTAATCAAAGTTTTGCCCAAGCAACTTTTTAGGTGGAAATAAAGGCTAACAAGGAGTAATTCAAGTGGACATTCCATCAAAAGTAAAGAGAAATAACAGGAAAACGTCGAAACTCCTTCTTGTCCTCCTGTCACGGAAAAATAATCCAGAATTTTCCTTTTTTTCATCGCTCTATTTGAAACTTCTCTGAATTGTTGTTGGACAAAACCAATACGTCCTTCGCAGTCTGGAAGCTATCTATAGGAAGTGATCGTTTCTATGTTTGCAAGTTACCACAGTAGTGGATGACCTTGCACTTCAGGACTGGCCAATGGTCATGTGTTCGGGCACTCTCCTGCAGGTGCATATCTACAGACAAAGTTGATTATACACAATCCACTTTTTAGCTGCATTTAGAATCTGCCTCCAGCTTGGTGCGTCTATATGTACGAACTGCTTATTAGTCGGCTAAACAGTATATAAAAGGTAAGGAAATAGTTTAAAGTAATACTATCAACAGGAACTTGAAAAATATATTCACATGAACCTATGTACCAATTGAACAGTTACCACATTATTAACATAGTTAATGGTGATACATTTACAGTCGATATCATTAATAGAAACTTATGTGTGCTCATGACTAACTATGGAGCACATAGATATTCCTATATTATTAGAAGGGAATGGTTCCTCGAAATAATCACATGGGTCATTGAATAGTCTAAATCTAATTAGTCCATTTTTCCTTATATCAGTGACTAGCACAGGTTTTCCGTGTACTATTATTACATTATGCGACTTAAATGAAGTTGTTTTATTTTTCTTACAGATAACTATTTGGTTTCCGGGGTCAGACTTAACGACTGTTTGTAAATTAGTGGCGGATATACTAGCTTGCAGCCTACCACAGAAAGATATCTCGGCATACCTCTGAGCAGTTTGCTTTGCTACAGCATAACTGCTATGCACTGACTTCCTAATCTTCCTCATATAAGACTCAAATGGGAAGGAGGAAAAAGGGTTTAAATCTACATTCGCATGAACGTCATCAAGGAGGTGCTTCAAGAAATCCACGTTATAAACTAAGTTTCCAGGTCCACAATACCATTCATATTCCTTAAGAAAATTAAGTAAATCATTTCTGACCGAATCTGTTTGCGCTGCTATGTAATCTGGAATGCGCTAACAAACACTTCGCCAATACTGAACGCTTGAAATTCAGGTACAATGGTTGTGGTAAACAATGTTTAAGAATTACGGGGCCTAAACACAGAAGAGACAGTCGACACTGTCGCTTTCCATACTGAGACGAACTCTAATGTCCGACATTTACGCTGAAAGTCTGCATGACTATATGCCACATAACTTGATATTACTTACTTACTTACGCCTAGTAGAGACAGTATATTCCAAATATGGGCTTTGATCAAAGCAGCATTCATATTTACCACAAGCGTAAGAGAGCCTAACATCACAAAAGGAGGGAGGGTAGCGTTACTGACCAGCAAACATGATGGTGGGGAGATAACTTCAATCCACACATGTCTGTACTTACTTACTTACTTACGCCTGTTACTCCCAATGCAGCATGGGCCGCCGAGCAGCATTCTCCAACCCACTCTGTCCTGGGCCTTCTTTTCTAGTTCCATCCAATTCTTGTTCATTTTTTTCATGTCTATTTCCATTTCTCGATGTATTGTGTTCTTTGGTCTTCCTCTTTTCCTTTGGCCTTGAGGATTCCATGTGAGGGCTTGTCTTGTGACGCAGTTGGGTGCTTTCCTCAATGTGTGTCCTATCCACTTCCAGCGCTTCTTCCTGATTTCTTCCTCCGCTGGGATCTGGTTTGTCCTCTCCCACAGTACGTTGTTGCTAATAGTGTCCGGCCAACGAATCCGAAGTATTTTGAGTAGACAACTGTTAATAAACACCTGTATCTTCTAGATGATGACTTTCGTAGTTCTCCAGGTTTCTGCCCCATACAGTAGAACTGTCTTGAAATTTGTATTGAAAATCCTGACCTTGATGTTGGTTGACAGTTGCTTTGAGTTCCAGATGTTCCTCAGTTGTAAATATGCTGCTCTTGCTTTGCCGACCCGCGCCTTCACATCTGCATCAGATCCACCATGTTCATCAATGATACTGCACAGATATGTAAAGGTTTTTACATCTTCCAAATCTTCTCCGGCAATTTTGATTGGATTGGTGCATGCCGTGTTGTTTCGGAGAACCTTGCTTTTCCCTTTGTGTATATTGAGACCTACTGCTGCTGAGGCTGCTGCCACACTGTTCGTCTTCTCCTGCATTTGTTGTTGCGTTTGGGATAGAAGGGCCAGATCATCTGCGAAGTCTAGATCGTCCAACTGCATCCTAGATGTCCATTGAATCCCGTGCTTCCCTTCAGACGTTGACGTCTTCATGATCCAGTCGATCACCAGGAGAAAGAGAAAGGGTGAGAGTAAGCAACCTTGCCTAACACCGGTCTTCACTTCGAACGACTTTGTCAACTGTCCTCCATGCACAATTTTGCAGTGTAATCCATCATATGAACTCTGTATGATATTGACTATCTTCTGAGGCACGCCGTAGTGTCGAAGAAGTTCCCATAGTGTTGTTCTGTCCACGCTATCAAATGCCTTTTCATAGTCAATGAAGTTGATGTAGAGTGATGAATTCCATTCAATTGATTGTTCCACAATGATCCGTAGAGTTGCGATTTGGTCTGTACACGATCTATCCTTACAGAATCCTGCCTGTTGGTCACGAAGTTGGGCGTCTACGCAGTCCTTCATCCTGTTTAACAATACCCTGTTGAAGACTTTTCCCGGTATTGAGAGAAGAGTGATGCCCCTGTAGTTATCACACTTGCTGAGATCGCCTTTCTTCGGTATTTTGATCAGAAGTCCTTCTTTCCAGTCTTTTGGTACTTGTTCCTCATCCCAAATCTTATTGAAGAGAATGTGGAGTATCCTTGCAGTTGCCGCTACGTCTGCCTTTAGTGCCTCTGCTGGGATGTTGTCCGGTCCTGCTGCTTTGCCACTCTTGATTTGTCTGATGGCCATGGTGATTTCTTCAATTGTTGGTGGGCCAACATTGATTGGGAGGTCCGTGGGTGCTGCTTTGATGTTGGGTGGGTTCAGTGGAGCTGGTCGATTCAAGAGTTCTTTGAAGTGTTCTACCCATCTGTTTTGTTGCTCTTCAATGTTGGTGATTACCTCGCCTTCCTTGCTTTTCACTGGTCGTTCTGGTTTGCGGCGATTTCCAGAGAGTTTCTTTGTCGTGTCATACAATTGTCTCATGTTTTCTTCTCTTGCAGCCTTTCCCGCCGTCGTTGCTAAATCTTCCACATATTTACGTTTGTCGGTTCTGATGCTCCTCTTCACCTGTTTGTTTACTTCTGTGTATTCAGCTTGTGCCTTGACTTTTTCTGTTCTTGTTCTACTGGTATTGATTGCTGCCTTCTTGTTCCTCCTTTCTTGAATCTTATCCAGTGTATCAACAGTGATCCATTCCTTGTGATGGTGCTTCTTGTGACCCAGGACCTCATGACATGTTGAAGTGATTGCCTCTTTGATCCCCTTCCAGTTGCTCTCCACAGTAGTTCCTTCTCCATTGAGTAGATCACGAAAGGCCTGGAACTTGTTGCTGAGGACTATCTTGAATTTGTTGAGTTTGTTAGTATCCTGAAGAAAGGCCGTATTGAACTTTTGTGATATTGTCCGCCCCATTGTCCAGTGCTTCTTGAGTTTCAATTTCATCTTGGCGACCAGCAAGTGATGATCTGATGCTATATCAGCTCCTCTCTTGGTTCTCACGTCCTCTATAGTCCTCCTGAACGTTTTGTTGATGCAAATATGGTCGATTTGGTTTTGTATAGAGTGATCTGGTGAAGTCCATGTGGTTTTGTGTATGCGTTTATGTGGGAATATAGTGCCACCTATGACCAGCTTATCGAAGGCACATAGATTTGCAAATCTCTCACCATTTTCGTTCCTTTCTCCCAGTCTGTGACGTCCCATGATGTCTTCATATCCAGTGTTGTCCGTTCCAACCTTGGCGTTGAAATCTCCCATCAGAATGGTCAGGTCCTTTGTTGGGCACTTCTCGACGATTGACTGCAGCCTATTGTAGAATTGATCTTTAGCGTCTTCATTGTAGTCGTTGGTAGGCGCATAGCATTGGATGATGTTCATTGAAATGCCCTCTTTCTTTGTTTTGAACAAGGCTTTGATGATCCTTGGTCCATGAGATTCCCATAATATAAGTGCATTTTGCGCTTGTTTGGACAGCATCAATGCAACTCCTTGTGTATGTGGTGCATTTTCTTCTTCATGGCCGGAGTATAACAGGAGCTCTCCTGTAGTTAGTCGTTGTTGTCCAACTTGTGTCCAATGTGTTTCACTGATCCCAAGTACCTCTAGGTTGTATCTTCTCATTTCTGCAGCAATTTGGAAGGCTCTCCCGGTGTCCCACATTGTACGAACATTCCATGTACCTAAATAATTCACAGTTACAGACTTGTTCATGTTTCTAAGTCCTTTGTGAGAGAAATCTATCCATAGATTGACTAGTTTCTCAGTTACACCTAATTATACCATGTGCATTGAATCTAAAGGGAATGTTAAAATCATATTAATGGCACGTGTTTTGAAATTAGAATGCCCTTGATCTTAAATTGATTCAAGCCTCTGACAAAAGCTATCATCAGTTCTCAACGTACGTTCACTATTTGGAAACATCATCCTTCCGTCAAGGCACCGACCAACTACAACACACCTGTCACAACTTGCTTTCTCATTGTGATTAACTGTACGTAGCATCCAAACGAGCAGGTGTGTCACAGATTACGGCGATCAGTTTAACAGCTATGTATTTATTGAACTTAAAACTACACAACCTACGTCGCTCATTTCTTTCACTTCAGAATGCTGTCCGCAGATACTTCGTTAAATTCAGCCGGCCTAGTATTCCCTCCATAGATACCTATCATGAAGACGTCACTAAACTTAGGGGCAACGATGCGAGGACAAATAGCTGTTAGACCACTAGAGATGCTGGTCGCATTATAAATGCTTTCTGAGATCTTGTACCGGATTTACCAAGAAGCACTAGAAGTGTCTTACGAATGTGCACAAGTCAATAATTGTGGCTTATTTTAGGACGCATCGTTGCTCCTCTCAAATTCATTGTAGTTGATTTTGTTGCCCAGTTCTAAATTCAGTCGGCAACAAATTATCTCATGTATTACACCTGCGTTCTCTCAGTGTGGTGCAAAAGTCACTACAGTGTCTTTTTGAAGTTATTGACATTCATTTTGATGACTAGTTATTTAAAGCTAATTCAGAAAACAGTACTCTTCAGTACTAGTGTCTTTCAACTTTGCAATCGACTCCATGTTGTTTTCATCCTAGAAATGCATAATATGATGAGTATTCGCGATTATTTGCACTTAATTATGTGTCTGAAGGTTTATGTAAAGTTGTTTCTTTACCGGGTTTGTTAGATTTTGATCGTTTTCTTGTCACTATTCAAGTATTTTGTCTATGTTGAATAAGAAAACTTTATTTTACAGCTCGAAGTTCTCTATTCCAAATGTCCATGAACTTTGGATAATACATTTGACAATTAGTGATGGCGGACAAATGTTGATCCTATAGAAAGCAATAATCTGAGCATGGATAGTTCGACTTTATACCAAAAGTTGTCAAGATATCTACCTTATTCTAAATGCAGAGTAAGTACATGAGTGATCTTTTAGAAATATATGATCGCAGAATGAAGGTTGCAAATGTAGTACATGGAAGCTCTCAGACAATGCGATAGATGAAAAACTTGTTGAAGCTATATGTGAAAATTGCTGTCATGTTCATTATAGCTTGTCTGATCCAAACGAGAGCACGTGGCTTAATAGTGCAATGCAAATGGTCGACGATGTGGAACGAATGTATATTTTATGTACTAAGGAAGAAGATTATGAAACAAGAAATATATATTTCTGTATTTTAAAGGTAAGACATCGTACAATCATCATTCCAATCTCATTTCTAGCGCCTTCGCAAGGCGTTAATGAATAAAGTACAACCCGTTTTTGATGACAAACCTCCCTTCGAGCGACCTGATATCAATACAGTAAGTATATAAAATGCGAATTCCACTTGATTCTCCAACTTTTAAAAGGCTGTACGAAACGCGTTATTATTCTGTGCTGTCACTGATCCTCAAAATCCAGAAATAACAATTGAACTGTGTAAATTATTCCTAGCATATGTGAATTCATATAAGATCACATATCCAAGTCAAAGGATTCAGAAGTATGAAAATAAAACAGGATACAAATTAATATATATGAGGTATTTTGTATTGTATATATATATACTTATTTGACTCCTTTCAGGTGGATATGCCACTGTTATGTACCAAAGTTCTGTAATGCCTTACCATATACTGAGGCTACATGTGCATTTGGAAAGAATTTCTTGTTAGCCGTTTTGCCTGAAATTAAAAGAAGACTAATCGAATTTTTCAAACAAGATTCTATAATCCCATCCATGCTAGATGCAAAGATACATTTAATACAACCTTTAACACGGTAACTAGCAATCATTTGTCGTTCTTAAATTTTTAGTGCTATCCTACTCATTGGTACTTCATTCCCGTTCTAATTATTTTCTATTCAGACTGTGTAATTTGCTGGAAGATAATGTTGAGGACAAAACAACTTCCGTCTGGGATCCGTATTTCCAACCACCATTGCGTCCCGACAATGTAATTACACCAAGCGGATTATTACAGTCGATTTCTATTGACCACGTGGTCGATTTCTCTACACATCAACGTAATATAATCATCAGTAGTTCAAGTGAACTGAAAAGTGATTCAATTGTTACACCAGCTCTCACTGATCTTAAAGCAGAGAAACTGTTTAGTAATCCAGATTTGGTGAATGGTGATAAGGATATGGTAGTTAATACACCTATTAAGTCTGAACCTGAAGAGTCACTTACAAAACCTGCCAAAGTAACTGATCATACAACTCACCGAAGAACAAGTAAGTGTTAGTAAATTTTCATTGAAGACAGTCACTTTTTTATTTGAATCTTTACGCCTGATCTGACTTTAAGCCCAATTTCTAGTCTGTGATTTTCATTTATTTTATTTCCTGTTTGGAGATTTTGTAGTTTTAGTGGGTTTAAATATCTTTATTCTGAATATTCTTATTGTTGGTATTGCCGGATCTTTAGCAAATAAAGACCTAAAGCACACAATTTATCCGTTAAACCCTTGGACTCACTTATAAACCAAAGCTGTGCGATGCCAAGGAGTATTTTTGGATACAATTGAAAAGAATGGTCTCTTGATATGTTTTTACTTGTAAGCATACTATGGTTTGTGCTACTTATACTGACAGATATAAGTAGAATTTAGTAAGTCATAAGTGGAAATGCCTGGAAGCAGAAAGTTGAAATGAAGAGAACAGGACGATAATCGGAGAGCAATCAAAATAACAACGGGACTAGAGAAATAATGGGACATGTAAAGGACAACGCAGAGATGTGTAAATGATGTATTTAATGTATGATTTTCACATTTTACTAAGCCACTGTGATTTTTCATCAAACAATAAATTGGTTTTCCCCGTCTGAGTTCTCGTTCATTACAATACTTCTTTTTGGTCAGTACCAAACAAAACACTTCAACATTTATGTTTCTATAAAGGCTTCCTAAATGACTAAAAGTTATAATTCACTTGCCATAAATCAAACAAACTGCCACTCGAAGTCTCTGTGTCAACTGTTGATCATGTCTATTGAAGTCATGGAGCTGTCATTGCTGAAGTTAAGCGTAGTGTGACACCCTGATTTCTTAGGCCGGTTATTATACGAGTAGAATGGACAAAAGTCATAGTTAACTTGCGCACCATGGCCAGTCGTAATCGTTGATGAGACCTCAAAGTTTGCTATCCAGTGCATCAGTTTTTTTACCACTGTTGCTACTGTCATGTTCTTCAGTGAATAGCTACGGGTCATCTAGTAAATCTGTCGATATATGTTAGCAAGTGTGTATACCCTCTCAAAAGTGGTAGCGGTCCCACAACCTGAATATGAATATGATCAAACCTTGCTTTTGGTGAGGGAAAGACTCCTGTAGACAACATGGTGTACCTGTGGATCTTCAGTTTCTGGCACTATATATATTCTCCCTCTCATTTTCGTGAGTCTATTTTTATTTGACCATATAAATTAATCTGTAATAAGCTTTACTGTTTCTCTAATACCTGGGTAAGATAAGTTTAGTTTTTCAAAAATACTTCGTTTCATGCTGTAGGGTACAAGGGGGCGAGTTTGACTTGTCGAAATATCATAAGTCAATGCTTTATTTTCATTCGCAGGAAAGTTTCGAAATGTTAACGTTGTTTTCTTAGGTTCCAAAAGTCTATTTAACTCATTATTGAGCTTTTGAAATTTTATCGTTTCTTGATAACTTGTGTCAGGGATTGTGAAAACGTTAATATCTGTACTTGATAGCCCATCTACACAGTCGTCTTCCTTCCCTTTTACATATTATATGTCGGTAGTAAACTGCGATGAAATCGAGATGTTATAATTTTCTTGGAGAATAATTGGTATGACCGTTTACTACTGCTTATAATCGGTACAAACCATGAACTATGTGTTTTCTGTTATGTATCAAAAATGTTTGATAGATAAATTACCACCAATTCCCGACTAAACATACTATAGGGTGTTTATCTTGGATTGAGTCTTGTAGTCTATCGGTAATATAGGCTTGTGCAAATGACACTCCATGATGTACTTGGTCAATATACCTTTCAAAATAGTAATTATATTTTGCTGTTGTAAACCGATGAGTAGAAAAATTATATTTCTGACGTTTCGTGACTTGACATAAGCCGCTTCTTCAGAGTAAATAAATAACCGAAATAAATCAACACAAGTTTAAATAGTCAGAAATACAATTTTTCTACTCATTGGGTTATAACAAAAAATACAATTATTATTAACCTTCTACCAATGTTTAATTTATTTGAAACAATCAAGTTCATCCTTGGCATTGATATCTATAAACCACTTAGAAGTTTGCTGCCTTAGATAATCCGAACAGCATTCTTACAAGTTTGAATAAACCAAACAGTAATGTAATTGCTATTTTTGGAACTTCTTTTGGCGCTACAGGGATGTAGTGATATCTTCGGACTAACTCAGTTTTGGTGAAAATAATATTACCAATCATCTTTTTGTTGCAACTATGAATGTGCGGTATAGCGTATCTACCCACACGGGATGATTGAAGGTTGTACCATGCCCCATCCGTTCACTTTGTCAGTTTCTTCTTTTGCTATAACACAACGTTTAAGGTCTAGGGGTCTTGGACGTTAAAAAAAGGGCATCCTTTAGTGTCACTATGGCGTACCACACTATCTCAAACCCTCTCGTTTAAACGTCTGCTGAAATAAATTAGGAAACTGACAGCAAATTAGTATACTCGTCAGCTGCACGCTGTAGTTTAACTGGTAAATGCATAGACGTCTCAGTAGGCACCCTCCTTTATTTCGACCTTAAATCGACACGTACAAGCTTCTGGTATTCAACGTTTACGAGTATTTTGTCGGATGACAGAAAATTAACGCCCATTATAATGGTTAATTATGTAGATGAAGTATGGATTCTACTCAGATCGTAAGTGACATATTGAAAAAAGCATAACACCTGTTACCCATAGTGTGGAGCACAGGCCACTGACCAAGACTGTCCAACCAACTATGTCCCGCGATATCCTTTCCAGTTTTCTCCAAGTGCTATTCATTCTTTTGATGTCTGCCTCCATTTCCGATACACTATGTTATTTGGTCTGCCTCTTTTGCTTTTGTCTTCCGGAACCCAAGTTACGGATTTCCTAATGATACACTTTGATGATCTCCGCAATGTTTGTACAACCCACCCCCGGCATCTTTTCTTAATTTTCAGTTTAACTGAAAGTCGATTGGTTATTAGCCATCTCCGGTTGTTGCTTATGGTATCTAGCCCAAGGACATTGAGTATCTCGCGTAGATAATTGTTTATAAATACTTGTACATTTAAGATGACGGTCGTAGTTCTGCACGTATCCACTCCTTACAGTAGAACCGTCTTTACGTTCGTATTGACTTGTGGCTCTGGTTTACAATATTTCACTGCCAGTTGCTTTGTTGTATCATATAGTAGTTGTCTCATATTTCCTTGTGTTGTAGCCTTCTCCGCTGTCATTGCTAAGTGTTCCACGTATTTCTGCTTGTTGGTTGTAATGCTCCTCTTCACTCTCTTGTCTGTTTCTGTGTATTCAATCTGTGCTCTGACTGTCTCTGTTGTTGTTCAGCTGTTGCTGATTGCTGTCTTCTTGTTCTTCCTTTCTTGAATCTTGTCCAAGGTATCAATAAGTATCTGTTCCTTATGATGATGCTTGTTGCGGCCTAGAACCTATTTGAACTGTGGAGTTAGTGCATCTTTGATCCGTTTCCAGTTGTTCTCCATCGTAGTCTCCTCTTGTTTGAGTAGATGCTGTAGTACTTGTAACCTGTTGTTGAGTTTGTCAGTATGTCGAAGGAAGGCTGTATTGAACCTTTGTAATGCTGTTTCTCCAGTTGTCCAGTAGTTCTTTAGCTTGAGTTTCATCTTGGCAACCACCAGGTATATGGTGATCTAAAGGTGTGCAGCTCGTCTCTTTGCTCTCAAGTCTTCCATTGATCTTCTGAACTCTTTATTGACGCAAATATGATCGATCCTCCAGTAAGACCCATGTAGGTTTGTGTATACGTTTGTGGAGGAATACAGTACCACGTACAACCATTCAATTGAATGCAGATAAGTTTGCAAAGATCTCACCGTTTTAACCCCTTGCTCTCAGTCATTCCATGTCGTTCCATAATATCTTCATAGTGAGTGTAGTCCGATCCGACTTTGCATCTAAGTATCCAATCAGGATGGTTAGGTTCTTTCGCAGTCACTTCTCTACGGTCGACTGAAACCTCACGAAGCTGATGTTTATCGCCTTCATTGCTATCATTGGTGAGTGCACATTACTGGATAACATTGATTGTGTTCACCTCGTTCTATGTTTTGAAGAATGCTTTGATGATTCTGGATCATGAGATACCCATTGTATGAGTGCTTTTCGTGCTTCTTTGTAGAGCATCAGTAAAACTCCTTGTGTGTGCAAAGCATTTTCTTCTTCATGAACAAAGCACACTGCATTACTGAACTTATTTGGATACATGTTTGAATTTCTACTTTTTTGTGTACCTAGTCCGATTATAAACAAGTATTTGCTCTTTTCATATACAGTCGCTTTTGGTGGAATTCAACGTTACTTGTTGACATGGATGGAAACTCTCACTTTGTCATGGATTTAAAAAAAACTATTGTGAAACATAGATATATTTCATTCTGTAACTGTTGATGAAAACGTTATTATGTGAGCTGCTGAAAGTTTTTTTTTCTGTACTGCATCCAGGCTAATTGTTATTTCTTTTCTATTTTTAATCATAAAATAAACATTTAGGCGTACGTCTTCGAAGTCAATTATCGATTAATACACAATCCTCTGTGAGTGATTCAGAAAAGTCGAACTGTAAATCAGAAGACAAAACTGTGGTCACCGATAGCAATACTAAAAAGTCATTGAATGATAAGTTAAATATTTCAGATGTTAGTAGTACAGAATTAGAACAAATTCTACAAGAAATGAAAAACAGTGAAAGCCCTTGTAAAGGATTTTATCCTTTTCAAACGGTAAACCTCAAACTTTATTCTTATATTGTTCTTTTTAAAATTTGTTCTAAGTATTCATATTCTTTTTTACTCCTTCTTTGCATCTATACACAAATACTACTTTAATGTTTTATTTGTAAGTGAACTCTACAAAGTTAACAGTAATGAATAAACTCAAAGCAAACATGAGTGATCAAATCTTTCATATACTGTGTTCATTTTTTGATTTCCTGTTACAGCCATACTGGATAATGTCGTGCCCAATAAACTATGATTATATCTGTGTTCTTAGTACATAAATATGTAATGGAGTCATGTACGTACGTACGCAGTTCTACGTTGTTGACTGACTGACTGGAGTCATGCTTTCAAACATATTCCATTCACTTCGCCCTAACTATATAGCTAGTATCATTAATCATCATCCAAAAATATTACTCATTTATATCTTAAAAGAAGTCAGCACTAAAATTCATATATTGTTGGACAATGTTAGTATTTTACAAATTAACTGATATTTACACACCTATTTCGTTCATGATTGTGTAAAAGTACACATGTACTAATTTTCTTAAAATCAATCACTCAGACTCAGATACTCAGTGAAAAATCATAACTTCAAAATCGTGTTGAATATCCACTTTCATGAATTCAGCATACAAAACTGTTTTATTTGCTTGTGGTGTGTATTGTAAATAATAACAACCTCTTGTAGAAATAAATTACTTATCTGTTTTGTTATAGTGGTGAAATCTTTAATTAGTTTATTTATTCAATTGTGGATTGTCTCTTTCTTTCTTGATAACTTGTTAGCTTCATTCGTTAAATGCAACAAGAGATGCCGCTGCACGTCAAGAAGAATCAGCTGGGAATATTGAATTTCATATAGTTAATAATAGTTTAAATCCTAATCAACCCCCACAAACATATATTTGGCTTTTGGAGTTATTAAATGTATTTGCTTTGCAATTACCTCGTATGCCGAAGGAATACATTGCACGACTTATTTTTGACCCGTAAGTTTGTATACGTGATATTCACAATTGTTGTTTTTTACTTTTTTTGATGGGTTGTTTTCCCGACTCAACTATTTCGAAAGATATACTCTTTTTTGTCAACTAAACTATTATTCATAAATTCTAATATTGAATAATTTAACTGAAATGTATTTTAATTTTATGTACTTCTTAAAATAATTTTCTAGATGTGTCTCAGTGGTTTGCGGATTCTTCTTTCAACTATTGGATCACAATCCAGTGTCATTGTTTAGAGTTAAAACAGTCTATTAGTAGTACTATTTCTCATACAGCAAGTCTTTTGAGTCGGAGTTTGGTATAGTTAAATGTTATCTTACATTTGCGATTATTCCTTCCAACTAACAAAAGTGTAGTCTTCCAATGTGACAAGACTGAAATTTGTAATTAGAAGTCGTGAAGGTTCTGTTATAATCATATATTTAATTATTATACTCTAAACAATTCGCTCAATTAATCTCTTACGACGGTATAAAAAGATATTTAAGCAGGAATGTTATTGTTTTGTTTGCATGAATTATCATGTAAAGCCTGTCAATCAGTATGTGATTCAGTCAGTCAGTCAGTAACAACGTAGAACTTAGTACGTACATACATCAGCTCAAGTTGCCACACCACATTAGCACTGAGATGCAGTTGTCGATTCAAATCCCGTAGTGGTAGAGATAGTAAGAGTATAAGCAGTAATCGGGAAGATTAGTGTTTGGAGATGTTATTCAAAGAGTATAATCCAGTGAAATAAATTTGGAAAGAGGAATAAAGAGACAAAGATGATTCAGGAGATTAGAATTTGGGAGAACACAGAGTGGATGCACCTGCACAATTACAAACGATTTTGAGCCATGTCATTCAGAGTCTCTAACCATCGGTTGCTATCATCTTGCGGTCCCCAACCAGGTAGTCTACACCTACCAACATGACTCAGTTCACTTGTCAGTGACTTCATGGATTTGCGCCGTGTTTTGGTCTGGCCACCCCTAGTTTTCTTCCAACCTACTGCTATACCACTGAACATCGCACGTCGAGGCAGTCGGTCGTTGGGCATACGTAACACGTGTCCCAACCATCTCAACTGATGAAGTTTCACTACTTCATCAATTGATTTGCCATCCTTACCTGGTACCCGTTTCCTAACAACTGCGTTACTTACTCGATGGTCCCAGGATATACGAGCAATGTTTCGAAGACACCTATGATCAAACATGTGATTAATTATCAACCAAGTCACTAGTATATATATTACTATATCGTGACTTTTCACTTCGATGTATTTATTTATTTATTTGAACACATATATATTAGTACAGGAGTGCGCTAAATATGTATGGGCCACACAAAACAATGAGAATTTTAGAAGAAGAAAAAGAAAAAAGTGGGGAACGTAAAAAAGATATAAAAAAACAATAACAAAGAGATTGGTGTAAGGTAGTGTAATAATAATAGTAATAGTAGGGGAAAAGAAGGGTACAATCAGAAGAAATCTTTCAGTTAAGGAAGATACAACCACGTTTTATGAAGAAAGTAAAAGAACGTTACAGCATGATTGCCACTGGCTTCTATTCTGAGCCATATCTGATAACGTCTCTGGCCACTGTGTTGTACCATCTCTCGGACCCCAACCAGGGAGTCGTGGAGGACCAACACAAGCCAGCCCTCTATAGCTTTCTTTCATACCACGACACCATGTCATATACTGACCACCTCTCCGCTTTTTCCAACCAGTTCTAGAGTCGGCAAATAATGCACGACGTGGAATTCTCTGGGACGACATTCGTAGAACATGTTCAAGCCACCGAAGTCGGTGTTTTAAGATGATGACACCAATTGCATTATCGTCTCTGTTCCCGAACACACGATGCCGAATCTCTGCATTAGTAACATGGTGTTGCCACCAGAAGAAACCCAGTGCTTAAAAGCGGGACGTTTCGCAAACTCACAACTGACTGTACCCGCCATTTTCATGGCGTCATGCAATTGCAACCAACGCTCATCTACACTTTTCGGTAGAATGGTAGCTAGCCTAGAAGCTAGCTCGGTTCGATACTTACTTGCAACAGAAGTTGCAACCAGCTTGCTAACATCAATCCTTTGGTGGCGGTCACTTCTTTGGCCACTGAAAAGTAAGGTAAGATTGGCGCAGACCAGAGCATGATCAGAGTCCAGATAGGTACTCCAAAAGGAGTGGCAGTATTTTACACTACCATGCCAACGGTTGCTGATCGCGATGTGATCAATCTGAGTCCAGGCTTGAGATGCAGAAGGAGGACGTTAGGTGGCACATCGGCAATGACTGTGCCGAAAGTTGATGCTAGCCAGAAACCGGTTGTGGTCTGTGCACAGTTGCAGTAGACGGTTCCCGTTATCTGTCCTGCGACTAGCAAGTCCCCATCGGCCACCTAAACGACCCTCTTCTGTGCCTAGACGCCCGACCTGAGCATTCAAGTCTCCGGCTAGTACTACAATATCTGTCGAAGGCACTTTCTGGAGAAGAACAGATAACTGGTGGTAAAACTCATTCTTGATTGCATCTGGGCCGCAATCTGTCGGGACATAGGAGATGACGCAAAGACATCATTTCTCACGCCGATTTCTTCTCAATTTAATGGAACTTTCCATTCTAACAGCACATAACCGACTGTTAATGGGGATCCAATCGATTAGTGCTGCCTCAGCTCTAGCGCTTAGTGCGACACCAACGCCAGCAAGACCAGACGAAGATTGAACAGGGTCCCTGGATAAACGCACGTAAAACAAGCTTTTCGAAGCGACAGATGGAGATCGAATTTGTAGCTCTTCACTAGAGTCTTGAATACGGGTCTCGGATAGACAGCAGACATCGATATGAAGACTTTCCAAAGACATAGCCAACCCTATCTGTTGTCCGACCTGCATAAGTGTGCGAACATTGAAGGCAGCCAGTTTGAATAGTGCACGTAGTTTCAGAAAAACTGCTTCAGTATTTGTATTTGGTGGTAGCATACAATTTTCAACCAGCCAGTGACTCGAGAAAGTTTGGATAGAACCGAGTTTCCACCATAGGCGAGCTGCTGTATAAGCCGAAAAAAATAAGTATAGACAGAGTAGGAATAAAAGAGGGTGAATAATGACGTAGTAAATAATAATAATAATAATAATAATAATAATAATAATAATAATAATAATAATAATAATTGAATCATTTGAATGTTCGTCGAAGCAAGAGAATTAGTTTCCATGATCATAGACAGTTCAGTCCATTAATTGCGTGTGGGCTGCGATACTGCCCGGGTGCCCAGACCGAAGCAGGTGGTTATCTTAGGGGGCTACACCCTGAGCCTTTGACCTAAAGGTCTAACCCACAAGGCAGTGGAGCATCGTAAGGAGATGCAGTCCCATGGTAGCCGGTGACCAACGATTGGTTCATACGCCATTTGTTCCCGCAGGATACTGGTGGCCGTGTGCACCATTGATTTGGAATCCGGTTAAAGCGCCGGACATCCACTTTTCGTCCTCTCATTTTCGTAAGCAACACCCCCTCCACGAGAAGGCAGTGAGGAGGACTTCCTTGGCAGAGGCTGTGTACGCGCGGCCGTGTGAGAGTATTTCGAGAGGGAGGGCGAGCCCACTCCGCTCTCGGCCATACCAGGGCATTTGGGGGCCTTCGATGTATAATATGTTCAGTACATACAAATCGTTATTACTGGTGACTTTCATTTATATTTAGTCTTTTGTTTCATTTATTTCACATGTATATACAGAAAACACAAAAATCTCATTTTGTTAAAAGTTTCGGATTCATGTGAAAAACATGCTATCGGCGGGATCTGCTTTCGTATGTTTCCATCTCAGGGATTTACGGAAATAGTGTTTTGTGCAGTAATTTTCAATGAACAAGTAAAAGTAAGTCATATATATATAAACTTAAATTCAGTACATTATTTACTTATCAGCTTCTAAGTAGTATTGTTTCTAAACTATAGAATGCAAAAATTTGCTTATTTATACTTCGTCGTAATCAGTAACATAAACAAATTTCATAACGATAATAAAAGTAGCGATAACTAATACAAAGAAGTAAATAGTTCAAAGTAGAATGGCAAATGATTTTGTGGGAGATTTAGACATTTCCGCAAAATCTCATTGGTAACTTCGCATTGATCATTTATGTTAAAACTGTAGAATTTCCAAATGAGTAGTACCAATATTAATTCAGTATAGAATGTGGTCTATATGCCCAACGACCTATCATAATATGCTGTACTGGCCTGAGTAGGATTTAATTGATATGAATTGATAATTGCCAAACTGAGACTTAAAATGAATCACGAATCCTATGACAGTTGCTGTTATCTGTGTAATAAATTATTCCCTACTTAACTGTCATCTTCTAGGTTATAAATCAATCAATAGTTGTAGACACTTAATTCAATACCCAGAACCGATCATATATATTACAGGTAATATTTAATTCGTATCTTGTTTTAGACCTCCAATACATCATTATTATTCATCTACTTATTTCTGTTCTTAATTTCCATTTATAATGTTCATTATTTCCTTCCGTTTTTATTGACTCTGTTCCTATTCTACCAATAAGTAGTGCGTATTTCATGTCTTCGAGTTTCACTAAATCGCTGCTATAAGGCCTATTCTCGAACTAGTGAAACTTGTATCTGAATTTTTGTGATTTGGAAGAGTGTTATTAAGAATTTAGTTTTAAAGAGACTGTCGATATACAATGAATATTTCATGCAAATACATTTTACTGAGTGTAAATTTTTTTGCATGCTCATTGATTATCTATTGTTAAAGTTAAATACAAAGAATGAATTTGATTAGCAAAACTCAGCGTAATATATAATAAGAGGTTATAGATAGCTTGCTTTGTTACAACACTGACTAACCTACAGCCTTTATACAGTATCCATTTTATTAGATCATAGAAATCATGAAATTCGGTAATGTGTTGGCACTTGGTACCAGTGACGTTAATTATCATATGTTGGTGACATAAAAATAGTAATCAACTAAAACACTTGATTAATATCGAATTACTGATTAAAGAATTTAAACACATCAATTGAATTAATTTATCAAAAATCAATTTCTGTGACTCCTGGCAATAAATCTTATAATAATTGAAAGATGTGTATTTTTTGTCAGAAATATTTTACCTATAAAATCTTAGATTGTATAATAAGTAACATGGACCTCTATATCTGAAATTCAACTGCTCAATATTATTTATTATTGATAAAAATCTAGTTATTTAGTGTCATAAGTTTCATATTTCAATAAATAATACTAATATTGTATTTACTTATATTTATGACAAGATTTTCTCTCTTCTTTTTCAAGGGTTATGGAACACAAATGATGAATCATTTGAAAGATTATCATTTACAGCATAAAATATTTCATTTTCTTACATATGCTGATTCATTTGCCACTGGTTATTTTAGAAAGCAAGGATTTTCACGTGAAATACGCTTAGCTCGACAAGCTTATTTAGGTTATATTAAAGAGTATGAAGGTGCCACATTAATGGGTTGTGAATTATATCCAAATATTATTTATACTAGATTTTCTGAATTAATTGCAAAACAAAAACAGGTATTTATTGTTGTTGTCACTGTCTGATTCATTTTTTTTCTTGAGTCTGTATAATTGTAACTTGTTTTCCAAATTGAATGAAACTGACATATTCCTAGTAAATTTTGAAATAGTGTAAATCAAATTTCATTTGCCATTATTCAAAAGAAACTGCTGAATGGTTAACTCTAGACTTTCGAAAGTTATATAGTTGTATTCATTACATAGGGTACATCTTATAAAAGATAATAATAAGACATTTACTTAATATTTCATTATTATCTGTAAAAATACATCTAGAATTCAGATAATAATTTTGGCTCATTATTGAATACTTGGATATATGTATATAATATTGTTGAATTGTACTGGTCTGTTTGAAAAAAGCAAACCATTAATCATATACCATCAGTTTACCACCAACTGCATTTCGGTTGATGTTCTGTGCTGATTCGCACACAATTTCTCTTCCTCTCACCAATCATCATCCACATTGAAACATTTCCACAATGACCACATTTGAAGCGCTCACTCGCACTGCAAACATGCTTGCGAGTGTATAATTCACTGGATACATCAATCAATTTAGATTTACGCTTTGATGTATTAACTAACACAGAGTATTAAGTATGCATGATTAGTGCTTTAATTGCATGAGTTATTGTAATTATGTTAATGACAAAGTTTATAATTATTCTGTTTGTAAGGGGTTGTTTATTTTTCACCTGTCATTTCTACGTGTTTATTTATTTCAATACTTTTAAGGTTCTGTGTTCAGTTTAGGAAAGTGTTCTATTTTGTGATATTCGGTGGTACTAATTTTAAGAATAATAGTTTTTTTTTGTATGATGTTATTGTATAAGTATAATATGATTGTATTTTTGGAAGACAATTTTCTGAGACACTAACTAATTGATATGATTGTAACACTGATTTAGTCGTTTCCTTTCATGATTCCTTCTTAATTATTTGATAAAGAATATCATAGGAAATAAACTTACGTTTCGTGATTTTATCATGAAGTCCTACCGTATCTTTAAACATTTTGTTTCGTGAATATTTTCTTGTGAACTTTAAATCTGTAAAACATCATTCGTGATCCGAGTTTGATAATTTCACTTAAATGATAATATATTGTAAATTATTTGATATTTATTTGATAGGTTATTACCCGGTTGATAGAAAAACGTCGTGAGTCTGTTAATCAAACCTACCCAGGAATACCTGCCAAACTATTTCGTAATGGACCTTTAAGACCAGATCAAATCCCCGGTCTAACTGAGATCGATCTAACTTCAAACAAATTTTCTGATTTATTTCATAAAATTCCTAAGACAGAATTATCCGAAACCAATCAAACTTCCATAAATAATCATGTTTCAGCAAAGCGAAAATCGTCAGAAACGTTTGGTAAATGTGTTGAGAAGTTACACGAGCCTCCGAGAAAACTACGCAAACGTTTACTCGATCCTTTGCCAAGTCCCAGTCCGTTGACTACAAAGCCACAGATGAAAGCAAGAATCAGTTCAAGGTCAACGCGTTATAATAGCTCATTAAAAATGTAAATTTAATTTGCTGACTTATAGGAATTACAAACAATTACAACGTTTCTTTTTTTAATTTAAATTATTAAAACCATTTTATCATCTCGGCATATAAAATGGCTATATTTACTAATATATTAGAATTTCATGTATTTAGATGATTTTTATCGTTAATTAATACTCATTTAAAATTTCTAATGCACTACCATAGAAGTAAAAGTTCCACAAAATTGCCAATGTAACAATGTCTTTTCCAAGTAATAAGTATGTTCAATCTCAGTAAAAATTCTTGTCATCTCAAAATACTTTCGTCAAATAATTAGTTGCCAAGATTATTACAGACAAGAGTGATGATTACATATTTGCTCACTATAATAATTAAATTACTAAAATTGTTAAGATATCATTTAATCTTCAGATTGCTCGGCAGAAAAAACTTTAAACGTTAAATTTATCTTATGGTGATTTACTCCGTCATATTTCGTTTTAGCGTAGAAAAATAAGATCAACAAAATAAATAGTAAAAAAGTGAGAATCATAAGGCCAGGACTAATGGAGAATCCCAATAAAGAAGATGGCAGAAGAAAGGATTATAAACATGGAATAAGGTAATGTCTCAGACTAAAACGAGAACAAAAAATAGATACAACTGTTCACATTACTGTAGTACTTAGTCTTAAAATAAGTACTATCGATAAAGAAAATATTGATTACAAGATTATTTTACCCTTGATCTGGATCATCATCACAGTTAAGTTTACGAATCGTCTTTACAGTTTTCATGTGTTTTCTATTAAATTGGTTGTTTATCGAATCATCGTAGAAATATGAAATAGTAGTTTTATAATACGATTTCCAAAATGCGTCTATTTTTAAAATCATTCTCTATATGCATCTCTTCAATCACACAATATTTTTAGTTTTTCAGCCATTGATACAACTGAACTCTCGTTACTTAAGCTTCTGTTAGAGATAACTAAGTGGGATTAGCTTGATATTACTGTCGGTTAGCTGAATGTTCAGTCTTGTAACAGTTGTGATTCAAAATGAGTGAATTTCCAATCACTACTTGACACTATAACGGTTGTATAGACGTTTAAAAAACCAGTTACTCAAGATATCTTATTTTTCATGAACATGGATGTTTTCCACTTGTTTATGATAAAAATCGAAGTCAGCTTCTACATAAGAAAAACGTTAATGATATTTGGAACGACAGTAAAAGTTCCACAAATAAGGGATCTAGCTGAGAGAACCCAATAACTAAAATAATTCAAGAAACCTCATCAAGTTTAAAGGGTTTTTAAAAAATCTTAGCCAATCTTTTATTTAGTGGTTTAATAGTTCAGTTATATATTATCCTCTCCTAGTCAGCCTTCATTTTTTCGTTCAAGAAAAGAATGTTAACTTTTTGAATTACATTTAAACCACACTTATTTTGGGTTAACCAGTTATTAATTATAATTTATTTAGATCAGATTCATTGGAACCTGTTTGGATACAAGAAGCTAAACAATTAGCAGAAAAAATTCGTCCTATCCTAAACGCATTACGTAGTCATATATTGGCTGGTCCTTTCCAAAAACCTGTTACAGTAGATGAAGCTCCAGATTATTATGATATTATTGTTTTTCCAATAGGTAAACAAAATTCAATTTATTCATCTCATCATGTTTACTAAACTAGTAGCGATAAGTAACATATGTTCCTAATAATTGTAAATAATTCTTGTTTTATTCTCATTTTATGTTTTCTAAAATATTTTTTATGCAAACTTAATAATAGTCCAAACATTTACACTTTTATATGTAGATTATGTAATTCTATGCAGCGTAGATCCTGCTAAGATTGTAACTATTTAGTAGAAATCCATGAACTGTAATGAATTCACATTATTCAATTTGAGTTATTATTCTCGTTTTATTAACCATTTTAACGAGAATAATTTCTTAACTCTATTCAAATTGTCTCACTTGATCGAATTTTTTATTTCACTGGAGAAGAATAACCTATCTATATGGCATGTTACCGGTTCGACATATTTGTTGGTACTAAATCTAGGCGCATAGTCTATTTGTACTTAGTTTGTTAGATTTTCAATAGAAATTTATTGTATATATACTTACCTTTTATGATTAACTGTTTGTATCTATCATTTTAAGTCACATTCGATAACTAACATATCCAATATTGTCATGTTACATGACGTGAAAAAAATAATGGTTGATATTTTGAATAAAACAGTTCTATTGTTATCGCTTGTGTTTTTTGGATAGTTATATTCATTTTAAAAGTTCTCTATTATATTTTGAATTTAGAAGCCTAGAAAACATTAGCCCTGTTTGTACAATGAAAACAGATGTTTCTCTGGGCTACAATTAAAGATATCACCAACATAAAACTAATACAGTTATTGTTACTAGTTGACGAAATAAGATTAGCTACTCTGTTATATTCTTTTACTTTTAATATAGACCACAACTGATCATCATTCGTTGAAGGGAAATTTTTACCTTACTCTGAGAAATCTCACTCAGATTTCGATATATATGATATATCATCTGACTACTTTTGCAATCAAGTTTTCAATTTAATTCTTCAGTTTTTACAAAGTGATTAAGTAACTGGTTATTTAGTAACTAAAGCACGCCTATTAACTAGTAGATTGTAGCTTTAAACCCTGTTCCCCTCTGTTTGGTATTAGGCAACCGGATAGTATTAGTAGGCCTTATACAAACTAAAATATGAATACGGCCTACTTCCACTATACAAACTCATTTCTTACTAAACTTTCTTAAATACCTGATTTTTCTTGAGATATCATGGTTACTTCTACATACTTTTAATTGTCACATGGTTTTGTTTTAACAGCCAATTTGAATTGGAAAAGTTCTGAAAAATGAGATTATAATGCAACTAATCACTGGTGATTTTTAACTTAAACTAAAATAAAAATGTCAGGTACTTTAAAAAAAAATCTAACTTCTTACTCATATCCTTTTTTTACAGATTTAAGCACAATGTGGGAACGTTTAAAATCGAATTATTACGTTACGAAATCCTTGTTTATTGCTGATATGATGCGAATGTTTCATAATTGTCGTACTTATAATCAACAAGACTCTTATCTTTATAGAAGTGCTAATACTTTAGAACGTTATTTCATCAATAAAATGAAAGAGGCGGACTTATGGCCTTAAATTATATTACAGAATCAACAAATTATGTAACTGAGTTTAGTAAATTTTGTTTGAATGTTTCTTCTCTTATCTGTTTCCTGTTTTTCAGGGTAACACTTCGTACAAGTTTTGTATTTTATAATTTATTGTATGATAGGTGCTATTTTGTGTAAATAACTTATAGTCTTATTAAATTTCGTAAAGTTGTTAATATTGCTCAAGGACTACTAATAAATATCTGTACTGAAAATCCTGATTTTAATTTCGAATGGGTTTAATTTCTATCTAATATTTTTCACTTATTCCGTGTAAGTTACTGAGCTTTTAAGAGAAGTATGAAGAATAAGTGAAGAGCACATGGACTAGTGATTGAGTTGGAAGGTGTGCTTAGTTGCTTTGCTGATTAGATTAGTAGTCATATTATAAAATCCAATCGTCTAAGAATTTCAAAACACCACGATATATTCTGTTTCATGAATTAACTAGACGTACAATTAGATTCTCAGAATAGATATATTACGTTATGAAGTTGTAGACACAACTTTCTTCATAATTTTAACGGGATGCTATCCTTAGACAATAATTTCAAGTGGCTGATGTAAAACCCACTTCAGAAAAAACGTGAAAAGGATTTAAGGCAAAAGAAAATAATGTTGACTTAGAGACAAACTAGCGACAAATGCACACTACCATCATCTTCTAGGTATCGTTATCCTGAAAAAGATTGTTTACTAGTCTTTCCTGAAGAAATTCCTGCACATACACATGGTCTAGATACTTCATTAATTTACCAGTACCTATTAAACTTACAAATTAAATTAGCGATAGCTTGACATATGTTCAAATTAATGACAAACCTGTGGTGTTTCAATACCATGTCTACTGATACACTAAAATTCATTTAGTTTAACGCTTATGAATGATTTTCGCTTCAAACTGTGAAAACTAATTGATATGATACGTAAATGAACTGAGTAACCCTCTCCAAAATGGATATATCTACCACGCACGCAACGTCGTACACGATACCTAAATGTTACTTCACGAGATTTCGCAAAACCCGTAATAGATGCACATCACTTTTATAGATGGCTGCAGTTACTTCAAGGAGAATCATTAGCCTAAACTAAACCTTGATAATGCGAGGAAACGACTAAGCTCTTGAGTGACATGCGAACTGTCAGAAGCAACAGACAAGAACCCGTGCACTAGCATGCTAATAGTGGCTAATTTACGGTTATACATTTGTCGTGGATACTTGAACAGGGTGATTCGGCGTTGTGGGTGGTCTAACTGTAATCGTTACAGACCTAATGAGCAAACTATAATGATTTTAGAGGAAGGAAATAACATCTTGTTCTGTCGGAATGGAGTTTGAGTCAGATCTTCATTCGAGCGGTGGTGTTCATATAGAATAATAATTGCTTTGTAAATCGCTGCTCGCTTCATTCTAAGCAAAATATGATAACTTTATATGCGTTCACGATATTCGAGTTTGGGGAACTTCTGCTAGAAATACCACATTCAAAACTCCCACTCATCCTGAGTTTATTCACGGTTGCTTATTTGAGAAATGTGACGAGTATTTTATACCACCAATTTGTAAACTGATCACCTGAAAAAAATTATAGCGTAAAATGAAAATAAATCCCTAGCCTACTACACTTGCACTTTTTCCGTATTTACAATGAAGTTGATAATTAGAAGTGCAGTAAGAAAGATTTTATTTCAGTAGTTTATCTTCTCAGTTCATCGCTTGCTTACTATCAGACTTCATTCTCAGATAAAACACTTATGCACCACTAATCAATATAGCACTTAAGTATATTACATTCTCTGAAATGCTTTCAATAAATTTTTCATCCTACCCATATGCACCACAACTCCGCCTGTAGCTCTTTCAGGGTTACCGCTGATCGCAAGCCCGTATAAAACAGGAAGGTTGGGCATGGGGTCCGAAACCCCATCCCATCGGAAACAAACTTGTTTTGATATGCTAACCAGAAAAATAATATAAACCATCAAAACTGTAACGTGTGAGTGGGAGGATCTCCTTTCATAAGGATTATGACGCTTCATGGTGAAAGCCAAGGTTCCTCAGACGTCAAGAAGCCAATGCCATTTATAACGTCCAGAGCAACAACTAAAGTAGGCACATGGAATGTCCGGACAATGTGGGGAACAGTGAAGGTCAATCAAATAGCTGTGGAAATGAACCCAACGTACTCAAACTGAAAGGATTAGGTTAGAAAGAGATGTTCTTGTTCTCTCCGTATGAAGAAAATGCTTTGCACACACAAGGAGTTTTACTGATGCTCTACAAAGAAGCACGAAAAGCACTCATACAATGGGTATCTCATGATCCAGAATCATCAAAGCATTCTTCAAAACATAGAACGAGGTGAACACAATCAATGTTATCCAGTAATGTGCACTCACCAATGATAGCAATGAAGGCGATAAACATCAGCTTCGTGAGGTTTCAGTCGACCGTAGAGAAGTGACTGCGAAAGAACCTAACCATCCTGATTGGATACTTAGATGCAAAGTCGGATCGGACCACACTCACTATGAAGATATTATGGAACGACATGGAATGACTGAGAGCAAGGGGTTAAAACGGTGAGATCTTTGCAAACTTATCTGCATTCAATTGAATGGTTGTACGTGGTACTGTATTCCTCCACAAACGTATACACAAACCTACATGGGTCTTACTGGAGGATCGATCATATTTGCGTCAATAAAGAGTTCAGAAGATCAATGGAAGACTTGAGAGCAAAGAGACGAGCTGCACACCTTTAGATCACCATATACCTGGTGGTTGCCAAGATGAAACTCAAGCTAAAGAACTACTGGACAACTGGAGAAACAGCATTACAAAGGTTCAATACAGCCTTCCTTCGACATACTGACAAACTCAACAACAGGTTACAAGTACTACAGCATCTACTCAAACAAGAGGAGACTACGATGGAGAACAACTGGAAACGGATCAAAGATGCACTAACTCCACAGTTCAAATAGGTTCTAGGCCGCAACAAGCATCATCATAAGGAACAGATACTTATTGATACCTTGGACAAGATTCAAGAAAGGAAGAACAAGAAGACAGCAATCAGCAACAGCTGAACAACAACAGAGACAGTCAGAGCACAGATTGAATACACAGAAACAGACAAGAGAGTGAAGAGGAGCATTACAACCAACAAGCAGAAATACGTGGAACACTTAGCAATGACAGCGGAGAAGGCTACAACACAAGGAAATATGAGACAACTACTATATGATACAACAAAGCAACTGGCAGTGAAATATTGTAAACCAGAGCCACAAGTCAATACGAACGTAAAGACGGTTCTACTGTAAGGAGTGGATACGTGCAGAACTACGACCGTCATCTTAAATGTACAAGTATTTATAAACAATTATCTACGCGAGATACTCAATGTCCTTGGGCTAGATACCATAAGCAACAACCGGAGATGGCTAATAACCAACCGACTTTCAGTTAAACTGAAAATTAAGAAAAGATGTTGGAGGTGGGTAGGATTTGTTGGCTGACGCTCCACTGCGTTTTTCATCCGGTTCAGCAACTCGCTATGAAAGACTTCCCCTTATACTGACAGTAGTTTAATGCCTCAGTAGTTTTCACATTTGCTCAGATCTCCTTTCTTTGGAATCTTGATGAAGTCAACAATAGTACATTAATCGCAAAATTCATCAAACTGCATCAAGAGTAAAACCCTAATTTGGAATCCCGAAGGGGAAAGGAGAAGAGGAAGACCATTGCGTCGGAAATCGGAGGCAAGTATCAAAAGAAGGAATAGTACCTATAAAGGTCTGTTCAGGAGAGAGTTCGATGGAGAACCCGGATGGGCACCCTATGCTCCTCTGAAACGGGTAATAGGCGTAGGTAAATAAGCTCTAAGCACCACAAACAAAACTGCGAAATCACATAAGCAATGAACACGTAAATTGGCGTAAAATTTTACTAGAATATGTATAAAGTGCATTAGAGACTGGTCAATTTTAGCCCTGAGCATCAATCGGATGATTCAAACAACTAATTGAGCGTCACTCTATGGCACAAGCAAATGGTTCTCTGATATAAGTAGCCAATTGGATAACGCGGTGTTTGAAGCAAACGTTATCGGGTTTGATTCCCGGAGTGAACACCAACTTTGGGATGAAGGCATAACCAAACAGCGAGGCCCAAATAGGACAAAACACGCATCCTGGATTCCTCTGCTAGCCACCATGTAAATCTGCTTATAAGAAGTAAGTCGTGCTTCATAAGCATCCGTCTAATAAACTAATGAATGACTTCATTAAGTAAATGTAAATTCAAAACAAGTGTAATTTCGACAAGATTAAAAGTATTAAAATACACTTGACAGTTATGTGCAAACAGAGAAATGCAGACATCCGAAAAAACCATGTTCATTTCATCATAGAATCTATGGCGAAATTTAAAAATGGCGAGCCCTTTAAGAATGTGAGCGAGAAGAACTTGAACTAGAGGATGAACTAGAACCGGAATTTGAACTTGATGAAGAGGAAGAAGATGATCCTGAGTTGGAAGAAGACGAAGACGATGAACGGGAAGATGCTTTCTTATCACGACGGTTAACATCTCCAGGTTTTTTATCACCTCGACCAGCAGTTGATTGTAATTTTGCTTTAGGACTATGGGACCTAGGCCGTTTAGGGCCAGTTCGAGAGCTTGGAGGACCTACAAAACACAATAACATTTTAAGAATGCATTAAGAAATCAAAATACCTAGTACTTAGGACAGTATTGTAATGACTTGATTAATTAAAATATGATCATGAAAAAGGAAATTTAAAAACTGACATAATTAACTATATTACTTAAAAAGACAAATAAAACAGCCCCTTTTAGAGTCAGCAAAAGAGATTATCCTACGTTTAAATATTTGGTGTTCGACAATATATTACATAACCAAATGTGTTACTCAATATCTTAATGAAAGAAATAAAACAATGAACATACTAGGTCTGCGGTAACGTGATCCCGTAAGAGGAGAACGAGGACGATTAGTTGAATGACTTGCAAATGGACTGCCACTGCTTCCTCGTCGGTTTCTTTTGAGTTCATTATCTAGACGACTGCCACGTGTTCTTTCACGTTCACGATCCCTAATGCGTTCTCGAATTCGAGAATGCTCTTGCCTATCATGAGTTCGAAAATGATTGTGAGAAGCATGTTTTTTACCAGAATCTTCTTTCACACGATTATGTTCTGTGGAATCATTAAATGTTTTTGAAGTATGTCCTTCGCGATTATGTGACCTTGCACGTTCATGCTTTGATGAATCATGGCCTCTTTTTCTAAAAAGCATTAAAGAAGCAGTTACGAAAGTATCAATATAAGGTAAGTGATAAAGACAAGAGCTAATTGTTACTTTTTTAAAGCCATTGGAAAGAGAAAAAAGAGACAAGGAGGAATCAGATTAAAATTTGGGAGAACATAAAGAGTGGATGCACCTGCACCATTGCAAACGATTTTGAGCCATGTCATTCAGGGTCTCTAACCATCGGTTGCCATCATCTCGCGGTCCCCAACAAGGTAGTCTACACCTATCAATATGACTCAGTTTACTTGTCAGTGACTTCATAGACTTGTACCATGTTTTGGTCTGGCCGCCCCTAACTTTCTTCCAACCTACTCCTATACCACTGAACATAGCACGTCGAGGTAGTCGGTCGTTGGGCATACGTAACACGTGTCCCAGCCATCTCAATTGATCAAGTTTCACTGCGTCATCAATCGATTTGCCATCCTTACCTAGTACCCGTTTCCTAACAACTCCGTTACTTACTCAATCGTCCCACGATATACGAGCAATGTTTCGAAGACACCTATGATCGAATACTAGTAACCTACGAATATCCTCTACTCTTACCGGCCACGTTTCACTGCCATAAAGTAGGACGGAACGAACTGCTGCGCAGTAAACACATCCTTTGGTTGATAGACGGATATCTTGCCTACGCCATAAATGACGCAAGTTGGCAAAAGCTAGTCGAGCCTTCTGTATCCGTGCTGAGATTTCGTCATACACCAGACCACAAAGGCTGATCAGACTTCCAAGATAAGTGGAGCGGTCGACACGCTCAACTACTTCACTCCCTATCATTAGTTCGGGTGTCGATGCAACCCAATCCTGAAGCAACATTTTGCATTTCGAGGGGGAGAATCGCATGCCGAACATACTTGCATTGTTGCTTTAAGTGGTCAGAAGACTCTGCATTTTGTCAGCGTCTTCACCAAATAGAACTATGTCATCGGCATATTCCAAGTCAACAAGTGAATCTCCTGGTAGGAGTTCAACCCTTAGAAATTTAGATGAGGAAAGTGTTATCTTTAAAAGTATGTCAATGACAAAGTTAAACAAGAATGGAGAGTGTGGACAGCCCTGACGAACACCACTCGAGGAAATCAATTCTGATGACAGTTCGCCATAAGCTCTCACTCGAACAGTTGTGTTCGAGTAGAGAGCCTTTACAAGGTTAATGTACTTCTTGGGTACTCCTTTCAATGACAAACACTGCCATAGAACAAGGCAAAGAATTAATCACAGCTCTAAGTAAGGATGAAAACAAATCATATTCAATGATGTTATATGCGACTTAGTACTTCCAGGCAATTTTGATGAATGTATAAAATTAGTGAAAAATTTATAAACAATCTCTCAAATTAATCTGGTTTATTATAGATTCAATCTAAAGCATCGTAGTTCTGGGTGCTACTGAAAGTGATCAAATGAAAAAAGCCTTTAAACTGTTTCACATATCCAGTAATGAAAGCCGGTTAATGTTAGGTAAAATATATAAAGTTACTTACCTGTAGCCTGTTCGTTCATCTGAACGGCCTGCACGATCACTTAGGTGTGCCGTTCGAGAATGAACTTCAGAAACTCTTACTTCTTGTCCATCTATTTGTCCTCCATTCATGAAATTAACTGCATCACTGGCTGACTTGGAATCGACATACTCAACATAACCATACCCCCTGTTAAATTCCGGGTGAATACGATCAGGTGGAAGATCAACTGAATGGATTTCTCCCCATACGGAGAATATTTCCTGAATATGAACCTAGAATGTAATAAAGAAAATGGGAAAAATTTGAAGAAATGTTTATACTGAAAAGACAAAACTGAAAGTTACATTTACATACGCCGACCTCCAAAATATATCCCTTATGTTCAGGATATTATTTCAAATCTATATATTTTGGGTTTCCAAGAAACGACAACGCTGTCAATGCAGTTTGCTAAAACATGACTAGTATTAGAATGATACGAAAAAAATGATAATAGAGATCTTGAAGGTAAATCAGAACTACGTAAATTTTAGTGATTAAATGTTGAAAAATTGTATATAATTTTAGAAGTGTACATAATAATTATGGTTTTGCAAATTGACTTGAAGTATCAGAGGGATTCAACAGATTTCTTAAATCGTGTTTCTTAAAATTGTTGAAAACAGAAAATTAAAAAATCGACTATTACCTTTGTTATATTTTTAGTCAACTTCTCAATAAGTACACGAGTAAACCGACTATCGGATGCAGAATTGTTATTAGGAAGAGGTTTTTCTGCATTGTTCTCCTTGTTTGACTTTGATACAATATTATGTGATGTTTTATCCCGATTCTTATTTTTCGATGTCTCTGCAACCTTATCGTCAGAATCCTGCACTGAAGACGAAAGTGTCGACCCAGTAACAGCTGAAGTATCTGGAACTTTTAATAAGTGATCTGTTGAATTTGATTTTGGGTTACCCTCAGGTTTGCTTAGTTCATCCTTAGACGTTAATGCACTGACTACTTTTTTCTTTGAATCACCAGGTTCCGATGATTTATAAGACATCTGTTGTGTTTTATCGCTTACTTTAGAATGGATAGAACTTGACTGACCAGGTGGATGAGGACGTTCACTAAGGTTTTTTGTATCCGAAGCTAAATTTGAAATGAATAATTATTTGGGTATTTAGTACTGCAGAAAGGAATTTTGTTTAGCGAACAGACTAAGAAACATAAATGGAACAAAATATTGAGCAAGTAACTTTAGGTTTAATATATGTGCAAAAATACCTCCTAAATGGGTGACAGACGGCATATTCCTATATTTTTCTTTAACTAATGAGAAGGGAAGATTCGGAACATACAATTAACAAATATTCCTATGCTTAATTTTAATGCATAATTTGCGAGAGATTCAACGGGACTTGGAGCATCAGAGACCAAATGTCTATCCGATCGGTGTATTTAACTATATCGACCTCCATAAGTAACACATTTCTAATAGATGTGCTGTAAATAACAAATTATTATACTTTGATAACGTAACTGAGTTATTCGTGTGTATCAAGAAGTGATGAAGCAATATACAGTCAAAAAAATTATTCGCAGTAATGAAAGATTAGACTCAGTACGTAGACTACATTCTGAACAGTGATATTTTAAGAAAACTCGAATAAACGAGTCGATGTAATGTATCAGATGATTCAATAATTGATGTGGAAATGTAGAAAAACAGTAACCCTTGGTAATTAAAGCATTAGAACTACTGAATCCCATATAGATGAATTAGTTCTCGAGCTCCCAACTCTCTCTAATCGCCTTTAACAGGTAACATACACGAGTTATTGAGATGGGACATTTCACTACAGCGATGTGAAAAATTCCCTGATTAATTTGCTGAATACACTGGAGTTTATACCTTGTTTATTTATCCATGGACAAACGTTTACTCTCTTTAGTTGTACCGTAACCTCATTTAGCTACGGTATGCAATCAAAATATCTAATGAAAGGACACAAAACTACTATCGTGTTAGTTAACAGGCAAATAACTAACAAACCTTGATAAAACGGGATAAATATTTCTAGGATTCGAGAGATACAGTCTTAAATAGTATATAAAAATACTGCTGGGGTTGAGTAACAGGTGTATTAACAATATGCAAAAAACAATGCAGCTACACGCAAACCTGGGACAAGATTAGATTTTTTGGATCCCTTCGATGAATTTGAGGAGTCCGATGCCGAAGAGTCATTTGAGTCAGAATCAGATGATGAGGAATTGGAATCTGAGGAACTGGATGTTGACGTACGACTTCGTCTAGCACGTCGCCTAGGTGGACTTCGAGTAATCTTAGAATGGGAATATTTTCTGTCGTGTTGTCTGGAACTTGAAGAGTGGTTAACCTTGTCTGTACTTTTGAGAGGGTTCTTTTTTGCAGATATCAAAGTCTTTGTTGAACTCTTATTGGTGCTCAAATCTGGCATCTTGTCAACTATAATGTATAACAGAATATGAAATTAACGACAGATTCACAAGTAAACAAAAGTCACGTAAGATCATGATTATATGAATATAAAAACACGTAATGTAAGGTAACATCGTCAAATCCGAAAACCAATAGTTCATCGGTCTTAACAGTGACAAAAAAGTAATCTATACTTTACTACTACTGCTTTCACTTTTATTTGCCCGACAAAGTATGTAAGATAATTATGATTTATTCTCGTGTATCAAAAACAATGAGAATTATTATCAAGACATATTAGTTTCAAACGACTAACCATTAGGCTTAATATTCTACATAGTCCAAACATCAATATAAGCAGTCGTCTTTACATGGAACTTTAGATATAAAATGCTAACTATCAAAGTGAAATACGTTTGTGGGGATCAGTGAGATTAATAGTTTACAAAATAGTTGACTAAAACGGAATATTAAACAAGGAATAATTAATAAAGAAGTCGATGCGATTATTTTGAGGTAAAGCTAACGTAAGTAAATGCAATTTATAATCAAAAATAGATTACTGTAGATCACCCCATCATATGAAAAAATGGTAATGGTTACGCATGATAAATAGTGACTAATTACTTTCAGAGTTACGGGAATCAGTTTGACATTGGAATGTAATCACAGAAATCATGCTTTATTCCAGATTTTTATAATAATATAACTTATCATCATGATACTCAAGGTGGTCATGTTGCTGTTATTCCTCAATAACTTTAGATACAAAACAAGGATACGATATATTTTGTTTACAATTCGAAGAAAACCAATTTACTGAGCCACAATGAAATAATCACACAGCCATTACCAAATTCTTACAAAGTTCAATAACATGACCAGTGTTATGTATCGAGCCCCTACGTAACAATTAATTACGGTAACACTAATAAATAAAAATTTCACACTAGTGTTGCAATACATTACTATTTCTGCGGGCTCTATTTGAGTTGAATGCAGGAATATTTATTTTAATTCAGGTTAAATCAAACCTCAAGGATCATATATAATATAAAAAACAAGAGGATATTTGATAAACTGAGGATATGGACGGAATCTGCATTTTATAGTCAAAGTTAAATGAAATATCACCAAAATGCAAACCAATCAGTACATATTCAAACAGTAACAAACTTAGAAAAAACCATTCAAGAATTTAGGATTGATAGACAATTTTATTATAACTTTCGAAATTATAATACAGAAATTAATAACATAAGTTTAAATAAACAAAACCCACAGCCAATAAGATGTTTTATACATAAACTCAAAGGATCAATATGTACATAAAGAAAATCTGAAATTTGATTAAACTAAATGAATTTGGCGATTATATGACGGAAATAATATCACATAGGTTAAAAAGAAAATGCGATCATACTTATAGAGAACGTGAACTACGTTGAAGAAAAACAAAATCAACTCAAAAATATCTGAAAGTTTGATTTTGAAAGTATAGTAAATAAACGTTTGAAAAGTACAGGAAGTATTTCAGGTAAGAGAAGATATATAGGCGCAGTTCGATAATTTACAGAAATGTGAAAACGGCATCATCAACAACACAACCTCAGAACATATGTACGAAATATTTGAAATTAAAGCAAATAACTATCAGTTCATCCATTTTCGACAATTAATTGAACCACAAAGACATGGAATCCGATCCCAACGATCTTCTTCTAGGTCAAATTTGTAGTCATATGTCAATTCATCACCTTTTTCGATGTTTTTACTAGCAATTATCACTATGTGGTTAGAATTATCACAGTGGAGTATCTCTGCAGTACAATTAGGGTCACAAGAATGATTAATATAACGAGCTAAACCACCAGACATAGTTGCATCCACAATCCAATCGTCATCGACCCGAAACATGTATATTCCTCGATTTTGCGACTCATATAAACGTTCTCTTCGATTAGCTACTTCGTTACGAATGACCTCTCCCAGATACTCAATAATGAAGGTACTTTTACTTATATCACGAGCAGCATACAATCCCAGGCCTTGTATTCGAGATCGCGCTAAGACGACATTTGTTTTCCAATCCCAACGTAGTCGACGATACTGTTGAGATTTGCTGGTCATGCTCGGAGACAGAGAATTTAGGTAAGTGGGACTTCCGATATCTGAACTGTAAGGATGACCAGGAGTTTCAAGAAAAACGTGGTTGTGGGCAATATACGGACAAGTGTTAACATCTCCAGTAGACTTGCGCCGGATATAAGTCCGAAGCTTTGGTTCAGATCGAGCAGAGCCTGTAGGATTTATTGCTAAAGGCATTTCCTGAATTAACTGCAGTTTACCAAATTTGAAAAGGTAATTGCTCAGACGATCGACACCAGGTAAAGATTCGATCGCTCGAATAATATGAGGCTCTGTAAGACCATATAACACTTCACCTTGTATGTTATCCTGCAAAATTCGGAAAAACGACGAACATTTGCGTGACGAATTTATACGATTTATTATTTTCCGCCAAACACCATCGCAGGTCGTATCTTCAAAGAAGATTTTTTCTTCATTTGGTTCTATTACTTCTACAGTAAACTTTACTAAAATAGGATCAACGAGGGACTGATTTACATCATCTGGCCGTACTGAATCTTCTATTCGGCAATCATAACGGCAACGCTGACCCACGTGACGAAAAGACCAATAAATTCGAGAGGTCCAGTAACCGACAGGATATATGAAATTCGATGTATGGAAAACTCCACTAGCTAATTGTTCAGGTAGCAACTGGCCTATTCGATGCAATATTAATGTTCCTATACGTAATTTAAGTTTTGGTTCCTTAACATTTTGCATTGAAGTGAAATGATCTTCATCTGATATGATTTTTTCAACCTGTGAATGTTCATCTCTGGAAATGTAAACCTTTCTTTCAACAGCTAAGCTATCAAGGTGGGGTATATTACTTGCACTTTTAAGATGTAACGGACAATACATTCCTCGATCAGGGTGAAAAGAACAATTGATTTGATAGGCACATGGTAGGTGATATACGGCTTGGCAATCCGAATCAAAACAGGGTAAGCCAGCTCCCAGATTTTTACAATAGGTGCAAGGAGTTTTCGAGGCCTTTTCCGAAGAACAAGGTACATCCATTAACGAGCCACTAACTGTTTCATAGGTTTCGTAACACCAAAGTATACAGTTTAGATGTAACCATTTATCGGTATTGTAGTTAAGCAATCTACTGGTTACATCATTTGATCCATCACCTATTTGATGGCATAACTGGCATACGCGAGTGTCGATACATGAAAATTTTTTAGATAGAAAACTTTTCTGGGACATGGGCAAATCAGAAGAGCTTCGCAAAACATTGAATGAGCATACTGGTGGGCTACCAATAAGTCTTCGCCAGCGAATATTACGCCATCGTTTCACAGTAGAGCTAACCCCAAATAACATACGATTAGATGTTTCGTTGGGACTTCTTTTGAAATTAACTTGTAAATCTTGAGAAGAAAGACGTTTAGAAGATTGCTTCATACGTTTAGGATGATTACTTTTAACTAATAAGATGATAAGCGGCTGAGATTCGATTGTTGGAGTAACTGTAATGGGACTATCAAAATTGTTGGCATCAGTAACAAATGACGTCATACAGTTAGGTCCCTGTCGTTTCAACCTTGCTAAACAGCTAGAACTGCAAAATGGTAAGTAGCTTTCCTTATCGTGAGACTTCCATTTGAATGTCTTCTGAGGTAACATTATTTGCATTTTACAATACGAGCAGGTTTCATGTGCTTCACCATTAAGTCGATTACATAAAATAACTTCCTCACAATACTTTTGATTAGAGTTGTGACCGGTTATGAACCCGGATCCAAGAGAATGTTTGTCGCTGACTTTGTGATAAAGAGGAGGTGTTATGCAACCATTAGTATACATGTCACAGGGCTGGTTTGATGTTGAGAGGTCGAGGGGAGATACTTGGTTTACAGGAGAAGGAGAAATATAATTAGAATAGGAGTTTCGACTAAAAGTGCGTTTATATGCATCTGATAAAAAATTTTCATGATTTAAACTATTCATTTTTTCTTCGGTATCAGGACGTTGAGCTAAGAATTGCAAAATAATGTCATCCGGAATAGGTCTACATTCAGGTTTACATAAAGACAAAGGAAAACGAAAGTACTTCCGGCCTCGTATATTTACATCATTAGTGTAGTTCCCCGAAAAACGATTTTGAGGAAACCTTGGTGAAGGAATCGGTGGATATAAGTCGAATGAATGATGGAGTGGAGGATCTTGCAGAAAACGATTGACATTTTGTAAAAAAACAGGACCCATTAATGCATCTGCAGGAGAGTGATTTGAAATATTTTCACGGATTTTATCATTTAATGATCTATGACGCTTACCACCACGCTCAAGAACTTTTGAACCCTTCCGCTTACATTTCGACCCAAAAGAATCTTGACATTCAACCACTGGAAAACAATTAGTTTTAGTCGTTGAATTTGTTGCATTACTTTTCCAGTGATGCCTCGGGTCGAAATTTTGTGATGAGATTTTCCTATCGGTATTTTTCATTGATTCTTGAAGTAACACTGCATTCTTATTACGGTCATTTGTAGGATAAGCTATAGAAATTACTGGAGTTTTGTGTAAATAATAGTTATAGTTAGGTGATAACTGTTTTGGTTCAATAGGATGAATAGAATTCTCCAAGTCAGTAGGACTGGAGTAAACATTCAAAGATCTTTTTCCCAAGGAGGAAGTGGTTGATATTTTTCCTGACCCCATGATTATTGGATCTGGGTCACACGTATAATCATCATTAAAAAACTTGTCTCTTACAATATTGTGTTTAATTCCAAACATGGATGAATCGACTTCTTTTAGTAGATAAACTGATGGTACAGTGATATTTTTTACCTTTGAGGATTGGACTTCGGTTCTGTCATATACGAATTCACATCCATCACTGGAAGGCACAGAAGCGTCAGAGACACATGCAGTTTTTCGACGTTGAAGATGATTATACATATTTTGCGAACTTTGGTAAGCACTGTTTAAATCCTGAGATTCAAAGCATACTATAGAGTTAGATGTTCTTATGCAATTTGTAGAGCTTGTTGGATAAGTATTTGAGTGACCAAGAATAGCAGAGCACCCAATGACTTCAGTAAAACAATGGCCAGCTTCAGGAAAACAAACTTTTAAAGGTGAGCTGTTTGACGTAGTTATTTTGTCGGAGGAAATACAAGTTTCACACAAGTGCTGAAAATCAGATCCACGAGACTTACTGTGGTTTTTGTACTGAAAAGAATGAGCATTATCCAAATTGTTGCAACCAAAAGACGTAAATGCAGAAGTTTTGTTACATGAATATGAAGTTTTAAATGATGTATCTTGTGACACTTGAGTATCTGTGAAACCCGGGTGAAATGTATGTGAATTGGCGCGGTTATCAAGACTGAGGTCTGTACGTACAGACCTGTAGAAGGCACTTTCTAGCATTCGATCTGAATACAAGATAGAACATTCATCATTAGCATTTGAACAATGTCCAACAGATTGAGGACATGGAGAGAGAGAGCATGCACTGTTTGAATGATCAGTATCAGTTAAATCTGAAGAGATTAAAAAGTTTACTGAACAATGTCCATCTGAACAATCACGAGAGCTACTTTTATCACTCGGCATTGATGGAAGTTCAAATGATCCAGGAGAAGAAACTTCTTTACTTGGTGTCTTGAAAGACGACGGTGATCTTTGAAACGATTCATCGTGAACGGATTCAGAGATAAATAAACCATTTTTATTGCATAAATGATCTTCGTCACAATTAGGTGAGCACGAAATAAGTGAAAACTGGCAAACCTCATTTGTTGAAACAGTGGAACTATTATTTGAAGACCCATAAATATCCACAACGGTCGTCATATCTCGACAACTTGAAACGAATCAAGAGCATTTATCAAGATGAAAATAGGAATCAAAGAGTGGATAGCACTGAAATTAAAAATGGATTTTAACAAGAAAATTAAGGCAATTACAAAAAGAAATAAAATGCATATTTTCGTTATATATATATATATATATATATATATATATATATATATATATATATATATATAAGCATGTGAGAAATGAATTTTTGAAAACAGGATCATGGAACATAAATTGGAGGTTTGATAGATATGAATTGAAGACGGTTT